CACTGCACTCCAGTCTGGGCGACAGAGTGAGACTCCAACTCAAAAAAAACCCCAAAACCATCCTGGAGAAGAAACGCACAGGGTGCTGTGGTGGGAGGGCAAGAGGCTGGGTGAGATCTCTCCTTCAGCCTCGGGAAGGCCTCATTGGGTAGGGCATCCAAGCTGAGACCTGGAGATGGAGAACCGGAATAGCACACCAGGCAGAGGGAACAGCATACGCAAAGGCGGTGAGGAAGCCTTGGACGAATTTGAAGAAGGAAGGGGTGGGGGAGGGACAAAGCAGGTGGGGTCAGAGCCTGGTGACAAGGGCAACTTTCGCTCCAGTTCTTTTCCTTCTGAGTGAGTTGAGTCAGAACACGTGGCTGTGCTCAGCCAAGGGCCCAGGCAGCCTCCCTTCCTCCCAGGCTGCCTGTGTCTGTCCAGCAGGACTCCTGATGCCAAAGAATCTGGCCTTTGTCACATCGGAGCCTCAGAGCAGGAGACCCGGCCACTGAACAGGTGGGCCTGGGACCAGCATGAGGAGGGTGGAGTCCCAGCGGTGACTGCTGGTTTATCCCGAAGCCCCCAGAACAGGGTTCACTTGACCAGGGCGACAGCCATCGTGGGTCCAGCCACATCTCTGTACCTCTGCCACTTGGTGTGGGGCTTGGCCGGGAGGCTGTGAGACTCAGGGCAGGGGAGTGTCATTCCGAAGCTTCCCGTGTGGGCAGGGCTGCCTCTCCTCCCTTGGGCACAGATGCCCCTGGAAAATCCTTCATCCCAGCAAACCCTGTGCTCCACTCTCCTTTCTCCTGGGTGTCTCCAGTCCAGGGGCTGCCAGGCCTGGGTCTTCCTGGAAGGGCAGGGAAGCAGGACAGGAAGAACCAGACGAACCTGGCTTGAATTCCAACGTCTCCACTCGGAGCCTCAGTTTCTCCGTCTATAAAATGGGCCCATGGATAGCATCTCCGTAAAAGGTCATCAAACTCAGTGAGTCAGTGCAAGCAAAGATCTCGGCATTGACACAGAACGCACACTCAGTAAGCGCAACCATTAGGATGTGTTATCATAATTCTGTGCTGAGTTTGCATCAACCTGTCGTGCGAGTCCAGCACGACTCACCAACATGTTGCTTCCCTCCCCCACATGGGGAGAGATGGTGACTGATAAAGTCACACCCACGAAATGACCACTGGTCCGGAAACCCCCCACATCCCAGAGGAAGCCCCAGAAGGCCAGGCCCCGCCCACAGGGAGCCTCCAGCTGGCCATGAGGCGGCCCTAGTCTGACCCCATCCCAAGAACATCTCGCAGCACAGGGATGCCCAAGCCTGACCCACCTCCTCCAGGCTCACCTTGAGGACAAGCTGAGCTCAGGGTGATAAAGGCTTTGGGAAATCAAGAGATCTTATCTCGGGAATGACACTGCTGACAAGCCCCACCCAGACACTGGGCTGCTCAGTGCAGGGGTGGGGAGGGAGGCTTACAAGGAGAGGCCCTAGGCAAGGGGGCTTCAGGGGCTGTGCCCCCCACCCCTGTGGGTACCATCATGCGTTTGACGGGGAAGTCCTTCAGGCCTCTGTTCCTCGGGGAATCAAAGACCACGGGCAGCGTTTTGTGCGGAGCCTGGATGTAGCCGATCTCCATTTCATCCTACAGAAGAGAGCAGACGGGAGGCTGGTGGACGGAGGCTGTCTGAGAGGAAGCTGTAGTGCCTGCTGCCTGGGTTTTGGTGCCCGGCGCCAGATGGGGGACGCATTCTCACCCTTGCAGTCAAGGGCACGTTTCCATGAGATGTTCGACCCAGCAGAGCGGAGCAGAGCTTGTCAATCTGTATCTCCCAGGGCACCGAGGGCTGGGGGACGGCATGAGTGAGCCCCCTCCCTCCTGCTCTGGGTGGGGCCTGGGCTGGCGCTGGGGAACCCCGATGAGTAGAACCTGTACCCCTCTTCCAGAGTACCTCGAGGTGAGAGAGCCAGGGAAGCGGGCAGGATGGGGGTGCAGGGCCTGGGGAGACACAGAGAAGGGACGGAGACAGGCCAGAGAAGGCTTGGGGGGCTACTGAGGCCTGGAGGTGAGGGAAAGTACCCCCCTGCCTTTGCCCCATAGGAGGGCAGGCAAGGCTGGGCCTCAGCCATGAGGGGGATGCCCAGGGAGATTTCAGAAATGAATCTGGTGCAAATTCTGCCTCCTGGGGGGCAGCTGCGACGCTGGACGTCATCACAGCTACACATCTCTAGCAGGTTGAACCGCGTGAAAAATGGTGCAGCCGGGCTTGGTGGCTCAGCCTGTAATCCCGCGCCTTTGGGAGGCTGAGGTGAG